CAAGGATGAACAAGTTCTATCTGCGTCCTGGTAGGGACCTACTGAACACCACAGTTCTACTCCATCTTGTTTCATGTTATAAAGACTCATAAAGTTACACACGATATCATGCTCAATTGCCATTTTGGCAAAGAATGCAGAGTGAGAAGGATTTGTGAGCATATGCACTTCCGCCCTTTATTACCTCCAAGAACAACAACACTACCTGAAGGAATTGTTTTAATCACTGAATCAGATTAAACTTAAATTTTCATTAATCTTGTTTTCCTGTTGACAAGAGAACAGTGGCTTGAAGGATGCTACCGACACAATACCGATGATCTATTTGCTCGATGCATCTCCAAAAAAACCAAACCAAAGCAAACTCACTGTCATTGAGGTGATTCCCACTCATAGAAACCTTGTAGGACAGAAAAGAATTGTCCTTTGGGTTCCCGGGTCTCTAACTCTTCATGGGAGTAGAAATCCTCATCATTCCCCCACGGAGTGGGTGGTAGTTTCAAAGTGCTGACCTTAGAGTTAACTGTCCAATGCATAACCCACTCTGCCTCTGGGACTCTTCTGCATATCTAACCTAGTGTATTAAATTTTATAATATTGCTGTGTGTATTGAAGATGATACTTACCAGGTTTCAAGGGAAATGAATGTTCAGTACAGGGCTTCCATCTGGTTCAGTCCAGTTTGAGCCCTGCTGAGACTTTGTTTGTCCACCCCTGATATACTGAATCAGCATATACTTTTAAACAAGATCACATGGAGAGTGGACACACAGATTCTCAGCCAATGGTCAAACCAGAAAGAACTGATTTGAAGCCTTGGCTCAGGGTTAGAATTCTCTCTTCTATACTGGAGGGTGGATGAGTCCCAATCAATGTACCTCAAGTGCAGCCACTACCTGTCTACCAATGGAGGCTTGTATTTTGTAATGATGCTAAACAGATTCAGTGGAGCATCCAGACTAAAAGGGGATAGGAAGCAAGGCCTGGTGACCTACTTTTGAATTCAGTCGATGAAAACTCTATGAATCATGGTAGTTTTATCCACAACTGATTCAGAGGTTGGCCCAGGACTTGGTAGCATTTGTTCTATTATGCATGGAATCATCTTGAATTGGGGCCAACTAGATGTAGCTAACATCAACTATGGTAAGTCTTAATCTACTAATCAGGTCATTGTGTTTCCATGCCATTCAGACAAAAACGATTCCTTCTTTAAGAGAGAGGCGATTTCACGTGAGGTTGTAGAAGTCTACATATATTATGTTCTGAATGTGACATTTTTTTTAGATCCTTCTCCACCATTTCCAATTTGTTTCATTTAGACCAGTGGTTCTCTGTGTTTGCACATTATGGTCACCTGGGGAGCTTTAAAATTGTACCTCCCTCCAACCGGGATCAATTGAATCAGAGACTCCCCAGGCAATTCTAATGTTTCACCAGGGTGGAAAGAGACTGGTCTGGTCTACAGGGAAGGACCCCGCAAACCACGTCCGTGGCACTCTACTAAATCTGGGATGGTCTCAATACCATTAGCACCACTGAGCCACTGCCAACTCCATTCTGCACCCTTAAGAAAGGCTTCCTTTCAAAAGGGTAACAGCTTTTTTTCAATTCTTTCACATCTATTTAAAGTTTTCCTTGCTGTGTTAACGATTTGGTATTCGACATAAAGCTCTGAGGTTTTACAATGTTCTCACCCATGTCTATTAAATCCCACCTCCTACTCAGTAAGGAAATTGCAATTTAGGTAAATGAAGGAAACCTGGGGAAATGTCTGTCCTCTGACCTACGGTTCCTCCAAGCAGTACTGACAGCATCCTTTTGAGGCCAACAGATGGAGGGTTGATGGTTTCAGTTGTTCATCTTACATGTCGGGTAGCTCGTATTTTTGTTTTATAAATGGTGAACCATTTATAAAATGGTGAGTCCAGTATGTACACAGCCCAGGGACAATTAGGATACTTATCCAGGACACTCTGGTCAGAAGAGGGTTTTTCCCCTGCATTTTGAGGTAACTTTCTACCCAGAGCAGATTTCCTTCTAATCCAGAGTCACTGTGACTTACTAATTTGAAAAGTAGCATTTTTGACCAGCACTAAGTTCCATTTTTGGAGCTGTGAACTTCAAACTATCTTGATTTTGGAAGGGAAATTTAACCACTGAAGGACTAAGTAACATCATATTTGTTTAACTTTACCATCATAAGAACTCTCTGGAAACCCCCTTGTGCATTCAAATAGCCTTGCTTGAAAAGCTGAACCAACAAAATTCTAGCACTTACAGAGTGATGTGTATTGAGAAGCAGCTACTAGATAAAAATTGGGTTCAAGATGCTTTTCAATCGAGCTGATTCAAACAAAACCAGAGAAGTGTCATAAAAATATAATTTCACACATAGGAGCACATTCAAAGGCTGGTGTTGCAATATTAATGGACACTCTCCCCCTTCCTGTCTCCCATTGAAATTCTTAGCCATAGAAACGAAAATGAGAGATTGTTATTGTATTTTAAGGCTTGGATGAGAATTTCTGGAGTAGCAGTTTAGAAAACAGCTTTATAAAGCCAAAATACTAGACCTTGTCCCTGCTGCCACCCCCGCCCCTGTCATTGGACTTTAGAATTATAAACTATGAAGTGTCAATGAAATCGAGTAATATATGAAAACTTTGAAGAAAAATTTTTGAAAACAATCTTACTATCAGAGGAAGATATGAGCTGTATATATTTAGCACAAAAAGCCTATAAGCTTTTCCATATATATTGGATTTATTATATTTCTCCAAAGCAATTTGAAAGGCACTGAATTATGTTCCCTTTCAGCTTCCAGAAAAAAATTTTTTAAAGCTATAAGTAATAAAAACAGAAAAGTTGACTCTGAAATTCATTTTTATATAGATTTATAGGAAAACTGCTTTGATGTCTTTTCCATTCCCTTGCCAGTTTAAAAAAAAAGAAGAAAGAAAGAAAGAAAAGAAAGGGGGGTGTCTATTAAGTTTAACATAAAAAAGCCACTCTTCAAACCTCATTTATCTTTGATGAGCCCTGGGCAGAGTGCCATAATAACACTGTGCACATTATAAGAATTGTATAATCACTCAGAGCCCCTTCTCTTTCTTTGACAATCAGTTGAGTGTTGATGTTGGCCCTCCCTCTAATGAAGTTAGCAAGGCTGAGCTGATACTTAACGCAGTGCAGGTTGCTGTACACCCAAGGGAGCTGAAAGCAAACTTTGACATGTCTCCCTGAGAAAGTCTTGATTTCCCTCTCAACACATGAATGCAGGTCGTTCTATTTGGTGTGTTAGGAGCTAATGTCTTAATTAAGTGGGACTTTTCAGGGGTCCAGGTGGTCCTGCTGGCATTAGGCAGAATCTGCCAATGCCTGTGGCAATTGATGGAGAAATAGATCCCTCTGCCTTTTCTGGAAGCTCAGTGCATGTGAATTGTTGAGCCCTCGCAGATGCACGTCCTGGCTGAAGCTGGGCTCTGATGGTTTCCTTTGGGCATGATGAAAATCCATTCAGGGAGCGCTTGAGCTAATGTGTTGGCTTTAATTTTTTTTTCAAACCAAGTAAATAACTCAGTGGAACATACAAGCATCTATTTTACTTTCTCTCTGTCTAGTCATCAGAATGAGAATGTGTTTTGTATTGCTAAGAGAGAACTAATCTAAATATTTTGGGTTCTGTTCTTTTAGGACGGCTAAATACATGTTAAAATAAAAGAAGTAATTCATTTTTCTAAGAGCAAAACATCAGACTTATTTGGTGAAATGAGATTTGATTGAGTCAATCCCAATTTTATATTTTGCCAACTGCAAGGTTAGGTTAAGGCAAAAACAAAACAAAACAAACTTTGATAGAATGGAGCTGCAGTGAGCGAGTGCTCTTGGCGAAGGTAGGTGTCTCTTAGGATAGGCTGTTTCCCTAGTTTGGATCCTGGCCGCTCTTTCTTAGATAAAAGTTTCCCATTGCCTCCAGCCCTGTGTTATACATTACAGCTGCCAGAATGCTCTTTCCAAATACAAATCTGCTATTATCCACCCCCGTTTATGTTTGATTGTATAATGCTTTACAGTACTTGGTACTTAGACACATTTTTGGATATTAGAAGCAACACGGCCTATGGCTATTAGAGGCAGATGAAGCTGTCCTACTTATTTAGAAAACACATTTCTTTCATTGACTTTGGGGTGTGGGAGGGTTATATTGCAGACCATTATCTTTGTATTCATCAGTTCAAACCACGCATCCAATGTTCCCCAATATTCTGTTCCTCTTCCACCCCAACCTGATTTCTCTTCTCCATCAGATGGACCTGCATCCTCTCTTTTCCCCAAATCAATACCTGCCGACTTTCTATTTCCTTGCTTCATTTCCTCCCCCTGACCCCTCCTCCCTTGAGAAGCTCGAGTCTGTTCCCTTCGGTAGACAAGTCTTTGTCTTAGACTTTCTCCTTAGAGTAGTGGTAGCATACAGCATTTGTCCTTTTTTGATTGACTAACGTCACAAAACATAATGCTCTCCAGGTCTAGCCACACCAGGAGGTGTTTAGTGTTTCCATTGTTGTTTTGGGGGACTGATAGTATTCCATTGTGTGCATGTATCAAAGTTTCTTTACCATTCTTCTCCTGGACACTGGTGCAGTTTACAACTTCTTGATATTGTAAGCAGAGCTTTAATGAACATGGAGAACATATGTCTAGTCATAGCTCTTACTCCTTTAGGGTGTATAGCCCACCCTGCTCATCATTAAAATCCCCATAGAGCATGGATCTTATTTTGACACATATGTGATTTCCATGAGTTGACTATGGCTCAATGACAAGGCTAGGATTTCATGGATGTATCAGCCTTTCATCTTTTTTTTTTCTTCATGTATTAAGTTTATTTACAAACATAACCAGTATGCTATTAAGTTCAGCAGAGCTTGATCCAATTTTCAGAGGTTGGACTTCATCCAATGCTCTTCGTAGCTGTTTCACAGATGACTATAAGCATCCTATTTCTGAAGCAGTTGGTGTCTTACTATAAAGAAAGGTGCAGCAAATCCAGACCCAAAGAACATGGTCATCATAACCAGTAACCGCCACTTGTTTTCCACAGAAAATGGCAAATTCTTCCCAGGGCCCTCCTCATAGTGGCTCCTCCGGACCACAGAGGTGGTGAGCCTTCGGATGCTCTGCCCAACATGGCGCTGTTGAAGGCGCCCCAGCCTTTCATCCTAACACCAGTTCTTTTCTGGATACATTGTGACGTTCTTTAGACTCTAAATTTACAAAAAACAATCCTGTGACTATTTTATACTTCAAAATGCTAACATTGACATCTAGGATAGTAAACTTATTTAACCAAGGCTGTACAAATAATTTCTATTTATCATCCGTATTAGCATTCTAGTCTTTTCAAATAGTGATTTTTCAAGTTATATTTCTACGCTTTAAAGAGCTACCATAAGATTTAGTTCCCTTAACAATTGGTTAAAAACCACCACAACAGATCACTATGAGCACCCATGAGCTTCTACTATAAAGGTGCCACATTAAGATATTTGGAAGAGCTCAGGTGTCACATTTCATGTTTCCAGGCTCACCCTGGGAACAAGGCTCAAAAACAGTACTCTGTCCCATATTTTTTCTTAAAACTGCTGCTGAGGGATCTGATGCAACCCGAGCCTACTTTCCTTATTGCCATGGGTATAAACATCAGCATGTGGGTTTTTTAAGAGTGAGGAGTGCTGTGAAACCTTTTACAACTTCCTAAATTCCAGCCAGAATGATGTAAGTCTGTGCTTTGGCATTTGTATTGTGACTTATGTTTTCAAAATATGAATTGTAGTTCTCAATACATGATGCTTGGGATTGCCAATTTGTAAACATTTATTTATGAGTGTGAAGTTCTTTCAGATTTCTTTCTGCCAACCTCTGTTTTCAAACTCGTTTCTTTTCTGGCCAGTCTCCATTTTAACTTCTTATTATTGAAAGGTTTTTCTTTTTCTTAAGTGTAATCAGTACAAAGCATTCTAGCTTGATATACAGTCTAGTTCAGCGAGAAGCAACATGAATCTAAACCACCGAGACTTAGATATAGGATCTTCAGTTTAGTAAACCTCATTTCGGGGAAGTTCTTTGTCATCCTCATTTTTACTTTCATTAATTTTTGACTTGATTAATAATCCTTGTCCTTTTGGGGGAGTATTTGTGAAAGCGAAATAATACATTCCATTAGAACAAAACAATTTCAAAGCACTCACCATTCATGTCTAAGATCTACCTCCCACACCAAACCACTGGAAGACAGGCTATCAAAGATAGCCTGTAACTCAGGAAGGTCATGCATAGAGGTAATAAGTTAATCATTTAAATAGGAGCAGACGAACTGCCATGCAAAACAGTGTATCCTTTATCTGAAATGGTTTATAATATAGTTATTAGGCCATATACTCTTAGGCTACATCAGGTAGTATATGCCAAAAAGTCATAATCCCAATGGATTCTGTAATGGTCACATTCTGCAATTGAATTCAATTCTTGGCATCATGTTATAAGACCCAAACCCGAACTATTCCCACTGTTATTGAGCTAATTTCTACTCATATCTATTTTCAGAGGCTAGAAATCTTTCAAGGAGCACAAAGTCTCAGTTCTCTCCCAAGGAGCAGTTGGTGAGTGCGAACTGTTGCCCTGGCTGTCAGCAGGTCTGTGCTTACCTGACAGGATCACCAGACCACCTTTAAGACAGACTTTTTCAAATGACCTTATGTCAATATGAGAACAACAACAATAAAACCAAAGTTATCTAAAGAACGGGGTGTTGGGATGTGCATAAAGACAGGCCAAAGACATCATGAGAAGACTTTGAGATGTGTGACAGTGGTGTTTACACAGTGATGCTGTCTCAAGAAGAAAAGGGTTTAGACCTGAACTGAGCTCAGCCCACGCTGACTTTTGCCACCGTTCTGATTAATAGGCCTCATTAGTTTGATTTGTAGGCAGAGTAGCTGCCCCTCTTCCCTTTCTTCTTAAAATGTCTGATTTCGCTGACAGTGAAAACCTTCCGATCCACAGTTACTCTCTTGCTTAAAATGAAAGGAAACCTACTCTTCTTGCTAAGAATTCTTTTCGAGATTTCATATGTAAAATTGACTACACATCAAAGAATATTGGAGATTATTTATGGGGAAGAAGGTTGCTTGAGTCTAGATGGGAGCCTAACAGGGGCTTTGGTCCTCTGTTTCTTAACCTTGGTGGTGGCTACATGGCGATGATCATGTTATGAGAATTTACTAACCTGTACACTTAGGACAGATGCATTTTGCTGCTGCTACATTTTCATTAAAACATATATATCTTTTAGATAGAATGTTGCACATTCCCAATACGAAATAAACAAAACTCCTCCTGAAAAAAATAGTCAAAGCCTTATGAACACCAAGGAAACTATTACCCCAATTAAAAACACAGCAATGTGAAAGTCGCTCTGCCTTTGCATCGATCTCAGGGGGCTGTGCACCCACTGTACTCATTGCTCTCTCCTCCTCTTGCAGATAATCACGGTTCTAATTTTCTTTTTTAATTTTTAAGAAAAATTCATCCCATATGTATCTGTATACATATATGGGACAAAACTTGTCTTTGTTTGTTTATGGTTCTTTTCTCCAGAAGTATTTTTTCTGGAGTGTTATCAGAAGCACTTTCATACCGTTGCAGACTTTCTGTGATCTCCTTTTTTCATGATATAAGAGGGAGTTATTGCTCTTTTTATAGATTTATAGGAGAAAATCCTTACTGGTAATATCGATTGCAAATATCTTCTTCCAGTTTCAAGATAATTATTTTACTCACTTAATGATGTTATTTAATAAGTTCTGGATTCTAATGAATATTTTTAGTTTTATGTTATTTAATTATCTTTTTTATAGTTAATATTCTTATACCTATCTCATTTAAGAAGTCCTTCATTTTCCTAAAGTAATAAAGATATTCTTTTATATATTCTTCCAAAAATTTAAAGACAGTTTTCCATCCAAGTCATTACCCAGAATCAAATTAGTAGTCCAATTTTTTTACCTAAACAATCACAATCTCAGTATCATTTATGGACTCAGTGTTCACTTATCTGTACATTGACTTTTCAAGGCATCTTTTGTCATATAACAACTTTGCATACATAGATATATTTCCAGGATTTCTTTCTTTTTTAAAGGAGTAGTTTTTTTCCCCTATGCCTATATCACATTGTACTACATGACTGTACATTTTCAACATCTTGATAACAGATAGGGGAAGGTCCATTAATTTGTTCTTACTTTTCAGGATTGCCTTGATATTAATGATCCTTAATCCTCTGTAAATACTTTAGCATTCATTTATGAAATTTCTTATAAAACTGTACCATATATACCATTAATCATACTCATAATCACACTAAAACTTCACTTCAACTGGGCAGGTTTGGCCCCATGATAGTATGGAGCCATCTTAATCCTGAAAATCATATAATTACATTTTACTGAGGTCTTCTTCAAGGTTATTCTAAAGTATCTTATATATGTGTTTTGTAAAGTCTTACAATTTTTATTTTTAAGAATTATTTCTAACTACCTTCTATATGTTGTGGCTATTGAAAATTTTTTTTTCTACCAAACCATTTTATTAAGAGTTAATCCGGACATCAGATGCGTCCATAGTTCAATTATATTAAGAGGCGTTGTACAATTGCTTCAACAATAGGTCTCAAAACCTTTTCTTCCTTCTTGAACACTTTCATATCAGCTCGCCCTTACTCCCCACCTTCCCTGCCGTACCACACAGGAACCTTTATTCTAGTTGTTTCCATAGAGCCACCTATCCTGGGTTTCATGTACTGCAAAACATACACAAGCCTGTAATAGAGTCAGGAAGGCTACCAACAATGATAAAATACAACAGAGATAAATGATCCCCAATATGAAAAAACACAGAAATTAAAAACCAGATCAAGCCCAAAGTGTATCAAAAGAAAAGGTTTTAACTGTTCAAGTCAGATTTATCATTTTCATCTACTGTAGTCATCTCTCCAGTACTCTGTCTGAGCACCAGGTTATAGCCAGCTCTCAACTACGGACAGAGGGAGATCACTGCAGGCTTATTCCCTGTGTAGACTTTATGCTGTTTGCGTTTTGTGGGGTGGGGTACAGAGATCAAATTGAGGTTTCTATTTATCCAGATTTTTCTTTTACCTTTATTAATTTAATAATTTTTTGGTGAATTGGTTTAATAATTTTTCGGTGAATTGAGATTTCTATGTAGACAAGTACCTCTGTTAACAATAATCATGTATTTCTTCTTTCCGATTTTTGTGGCATTTCCCTATCTCATTCCTGTGTTGTAGGGTCTGCGGTAAGCTTTTAAAGACTGTGGTGATAGCAGCTTTACCCCGTCAGTGATTTTAAAGTGAATCTGTGAGGGCCTTCTTTCATAAACATTGTTCAATAGGACACTATCATTATTCCTAGGCGATTACTAAAAACAACAATTGTTTTAAAGAACCACGGCCTCTGTTTTCATCAAAAGTAAGGAACAGATATCATTCATAAAATCAAAACTCTTCATTGAAAGGGTCCCACAAAGAGCTTAGTAGACATAAGCAACCGAATACAGAAATAAAGATAATGTTTTCTAGAATTATAGAGCAATGACCACAATAGAAGATAGATGATGAATATCCCAATAATACATTGCTTCAATAAATGCAAAATAAAATCAAAATGTTGGAACAGACACTAAGTTGATACAATTCCCAAATGTATCAGACTAGGGGGAAAAAAGACGTGAATCTAATATGTAAGGA